CCGGCCCCCCTCCTCTTCATCCCCCTCTCCCCCCAAATCCCTGGCTTCCCTGTGCTTACTGGGTTGGAGCTGCAGGATTTTAAAAATGGTGCCCAAGATGTGGCCATCTTAAAGGGGCAGCCTCCTTTTAAAAAATATTTTTTTTAAAAATTTTTTTGTTTTCGCTTGACAATTCTGTTCTGGGGGGCTTTTTGTTTTGTTTCGTTTTTTGGGCCTGACAATTCTGGTGTGGCTCTTTGCATTTTTTCTGCTGCTGTTTTGGCTCTCGTTAAATGGATTGGCCACCCCTGAACTATAAAATCTAACCATCCCATCCCTTGTCCACCTCTACCCCCAGTAAACTGCTATCCACCACCATGAAAAAAAAAATTAGATTTTTGGGAAGGGTTGATTAATTTTTTAAGAGATCTTGATTTAACTGATTCCTTTATAAAAAGTTGAAGGGTGGGAATTTTAAGTCATCACCAGCCGCCTGCTGTACAAGTGGCTCTTGTTTAAGTGTGGGTTCATACAACTGCCAAGCATTAGGATGTTTTTCAAGGGAGAGTCCTCTAACAATGCCAGAAACCTAAGGGAATGATTAGGCCTCCAGACACAGGACTACAGTGTTTGTATTTTGGTGATTTTAGAACAATGCAATAGTGCATTACAAACAACTAATTAAGCATCATATATTGCCCTGTGAGCAATCCCCATTGTGTAGTACTGTTCCCAATTTAGAAATTATATACTGGAGTTGCGAATCAATTCAATTCCAATCTAACTGTAAAGAATAAAAGCAAGATGGTAATCAAAATGACTTGATCTTACATTCCTATAACCCTTATGGCTTGTCAGTACTGGAAATGAATCCTATATGCTAGGAAACTTCCAAATTAGCAATACTATAAAGCTCTTCTTTTTTACATGGTGATTTGAAGCAGGTTTTCAATGGGTTTCCAACAACAGGAGAGTACTGAATATAGCAAATGCTAGTTCTTAGTTTCATATAGTTTTCAATCTTTGTTAGTAAAGGTTTACCAAACTGTTCAGTCCATCTACTGTACTTTATCTGCCAACTGCCATGAAGCACTATTATGATCTGCCAACATGCTTTTAACACACCATTGCT